AGGAGTTATCTCATTGGTTTATCCCTTGTAAATATCTATATCGTTCCCGAGCCGCCTCTCGACCTCATTCATATCACCAAGCGACACTTCTCCTCTGCTTAGGGGTCGCCTTAGCCGGGGCTAATCGTATTAATCAATAGAGGACGCTTTTGTAAAGTAACGGTTAGCTCTCTCCGCGTTATTATTCGGAGTCACCTTTCCGACCATAAACTCTTAGGGAATTCGTAGGTGGGAAGAGAGTTGAATAATATCGTGTCGGATTGAGCCACCCTAGGCTAAGGAATTGCGTACTGTTTTGTCTCCTTCATACCTGATCTGATCCCAGGTGTTGACTTAGAGTTCATCGACGGGCAGAGCGGGTGATCGGTACAGTCATATCTGTGTAGTTATATTCCTATCCGCTATGGCTCGTGGTCAACAGAAAGCAGAATCGCAAAGAAAGAATGCTCTAAAGAAAGCTAAGGACGCCCATAAGGGTAGTCGCCTATCCTACCCCTATAGTCTGTTGTAGTATATTCCACAGGTAGCCAATTGGCCGGTCAAAAGGCAGCTCTCAAGATGACATGCCCTCAATGCAAGGTAGTAGGATTACAGCAATACTATCCACACATGTATTGTCAGTTACAAATGACCAACTATAAAGTCCTAACGCAACACTTTGAGTCAAAACATCCTAAGGAGACTTGCCCTCCGGAGAGCTCCTTCACGGCCTAAGCCCTTGTACAGTACTACTATTATTGTTACTACTAGTTATCTAGTTTCTTCACAACATACAACATCAGTCATTGGATTTAGTTTGTTATCAGTTAGCTCATGGCGGGGAGATAGTATCGGACTTGGATTCCAGGGTAACATCCACGACAGTGAGGCAGCACCAGCAGCAGTATCATCAACCAACATCCACTAGCGCTATACTATAGAACACTATGTACACGTGGTTAGAGTGCATCAGCAGGGGGAGAGAACTTCCGATCATCGGCAGAATGGTCATCAGCCTCTGACAGTCCTCACTGACCATACTAGTGATACGAGTAGGAGCTGCGCCTATTAGTACAGTAGTAGGAACTCACAGTAATAGTACTGAGGCTTCACAGTTACGATTTCATAGGGAAGAAGGAAGAGGAGGCTCACCAGGTATCGAAACACAGGCTGAATGATGCTTACTCGGGATAGAGAGCAGAACGTAACGAGTAGCAGAAGCATGCCCTTTGGATCGCGTTGAGGATATCTCATCTCCTTTTCGTACCGGCTATGCTAGGTCCTCTAAGTTTGGCTCTTCCATTGCTTTATGTGGTACCCCAATTGATGCTGGATCAATTATCAATCATATTGATCAATGATCTGGATTAATCGAGGTCAACTCGTTGGGCCAGTTTACTCGGCGACGGTCTCCGGCGTGTGTGAAGGGACAGTCACGTTGTGTCGACGCAACACCTAGCGCTATTCAGCAGTGATTCAAAGTTCTTCCGGGATGTTGGGTTACATCCCACCTTCGCCTCAGTTATTTGTCGTCCTTTTTTCCAACCTCCCGCCCACCCTGGCGATGTGGTGTGGCACCTCACGTTCCGTGTGAGGTTGGCCCCATCACATTGGCCGAGGATCACACGTGTTTAGTGTCATCCTCCGGCCCACGACCCAACGCCGGGAAGGAAGGGAGCCGGGTAAACGACGACGACCACGACCGTTACATAATAGGATGGGTTACCTCATGATCAACGTATATCAAGTAACTGGCCACAAGTCCATCGTGAGAAGATGCTCTACCGTGTAATTGGATATACAGATATACTACTATTGGCATTAGTCTTTACACTACATCGTTTCTACGAGGAAGTGGAACATTACCAATATTCCGCCAACATCCCCGCTGATCATTATTAGCCCAATGACATTAACAACTCGAAATATTAGGTATCGAAACTCCGATATTAATGACTAATTGGTTATGTCCCGCGGACCTGCGGGGAATGAAATCCCTGAATGGACAAGGCAAGTTAAGCCAGAGAACACCAAATAATCACTCAAGTTTCGAACATTTTTTGGATCTCCTCAAAGGTCTTTCCCTTAGTCTCTGGTACCATGAACCACTCGAAAACAGTGACTACGGCACCGACACAGGAGAAGAAGAAAAAAGCAGCTTGCATCGAAGTTGCCTCAATGCAAGACTCGAGGAAAAGAACGAAGAAGAATGCACCACCCCAATTGGACGTGGTGGCAATGGCAGACGCCAACCCTCGTGCTTCGTCTGGAAAGATTTCCGAAGCGAGCATCCATCGAATAGGACCAGCACCCCAAGAATAGGATAGCTGATAACCGTAGGTTGCTAGAAGAGCAAGCCAAGCAAGATGCTGAGCATCACCATCACGATCGAAATAGAAGAAAATTCCCATCAGAAGCTGACTGATTGTGATACCAATCCAACTACTGATGAATAGAGGTCGACGGCCAACACGATCAAGGAGATACATACATGGCAACGTCGCTATTGTGCTCGACACTCTCACTGTTATAGCGAGGACTGATGAATCGCTCAACCCAGCCGCTTGGAAAATGGTATCCTGGTAGAAGGTTTGAGCATTGGTACCAGAGAATTGCGTACCAAGATTAGTCACGGTTACGATCGCAACCTGCTTACGACACTGCCAAAGGATCTTAAACCGATGCTTCATATCGGACGATCCTCCACCTCTCTCCTTTTGACCTTCAACGATATCTTCAAGAGCTCTGATTTCATCTGCTATTCTGGGGTCGGCAACGGAATCTACTCCTCGAAGCCGACGCAATGTTTCCTCAGCTTTTTGTAGCCCACCACGAGTAGCAAGCCACCTCGGAGTCTCAGGAGCGAAGAACATAGCGATAGTCAATACAGCACCGGGAATAAGGCAAATGTACGAGACCAATCGCCAGCGGCAGAATGTCTGAGAAGTGGCCAAAGGATCAGAAGACTCTCCATCTGTGCGACACACAGCTCCAAAAATATAAACAAGTAGAATACCCAAACCGATGAGCAGCTGAGTGCAGCTCCCTAAAAAGCCACGTAGACTCGTAGGAGACACCTCACTGATATACACCGAACACACAAATGAACAGATGCCCATAGACCAACCTCCGATTAGTCTAGCTATGATGAGAGCCGCAACATTCTTGCATAGAGCGATAATAAGGAAGGAGATAACATTGAGCGGACCAGCGATTAATAACGCGAGCCGTCGACCTGTGCGCTCAGAGATAGGGCCTCCAGTGAGAGATGCAATAAGAGCCCCTAAGGTGAGAGCAGCGCTGAAGAAACTTGCAGTCATTGGAGACTCAAAGACGTAGAGGTCTGAGTGAACACCGATCCGAATATGCTCCCCACTGGGCGAGGCAACAGTATTCTGCATAGTGTCAATGGCAGGTGCGGTGAAACCACAACAGAGACCAACGAGAAGAGGGGCAGGTAGAACAGCAGCAACAGCTAGCAGTGCCCTCCGGTCGGAGGGATGCTCACCCTTTTTGGATTTCTCCCAAAACATAAACTTAATAAACTGAAATGTTTGAATAGTTAACAGTCCACCGATCCACCTATTCAAGAGAATGAACAGGATCCAAACACAAGTGCACTAATGAGGAGCCTAATCACCCTCAGAACCCTGATGGTGTACGTCCCGCATTACTGAAAGGCTTTACTCACCAGATGGCTTATAAAACAACTCTAGTGTACTACATTTAACCCTCGGCGACTAGGGGACAGCGAGCAGGACGCTAAAGAGTTACTAGCGTACGTATGACGATTCAGCGAATATCTACATAGTCCTTCAAGACAATTTCAGGTTGCTCAAGGGCTACCACGTCGCCAACTTGACGATCCTAACTAACGCCATGAAGAGGTTAAACTAATCATCGAGACGTGGAACGAGCAATTTTAGGATATTGATGGTCACTGCCTGTTATTCTGTAACCGGGGACAAGGCACACAATACTCTAAGCCTCCAAGAAACAAGTAATGTATATAGGAAAGGCACTAGGATACAAATTGGGTTTTGACCTTTGACCTTAACCTAATGTATATCATATACGTCTTGAGGCTGCTATAAAGGAACAAGTATTGATGTGAAGCGGAATGAACGAGAACGTCCTTGATAAAGATACTCAAGTAGAAATGTGCAACTAAAACAACTTTTGAATTTCTTCAAGTGTCTTCCCCTTCGTTTCGGGTACCATGAAATACTCGAAAACAGCCATGACCGCACCCACACAGGAGAAGAACCAAAAGGCCGCCTGCATTGAAGTGGCTTGCACAACAGAATCCAAGAATAATATAAATATAAATGCACATATCCAATTGACGGTCGTAGTAGCAGCAGATGCCAACCCACGAGCTTCATCAGGGAAAAGCTCAGATGCCAACATCCATCGAATCGGACCAACACCCCAAGAATATGTGAATTGATAACCATACGAGGCTAGTAATGCAAGCCAAGCAATATTATGAGCATCACCATCGCGATCCAAGTAGAAGAACAGACCCATCAGAAACTGACTCAAACACATACCCGCTGCACTGCTTATGATAAGTGGCCGTCTACCAAGCCGATCAACCAAATAGAGTGCAGGGAAGTTGGCTAAAGTACTCACTATTCTAACAGTGATAGCGAGCACGTCCGAATCCTTCAGTCCAGCCATCTCAAAAATGGTAGTTTGAAAGAATGTAAGAGCATTGATACCAGAGAATTGGGTGAAGGCCATGTTCATCGTACATATTATCAGCTGTTTTGGACATGAAAACAGTACGTGGAAGCGAGCTCGGATATCGGACTTCGATTTCGTGGCTTTTCGAGCAGCATCACTAACGGAAATAAGAGCATTCAGCTCGTCATCAATATAATCTTCTTCATGATCGCCGGCATCCACACCTCGAACCCTGCGTAGGTTAGCCTCGGCTATCTCTAATTTGCCTCGAGTAGCAAGCCACCGGGGTGTTTCGGGTGCCAAAAACATCGTAATGAAGAGTAATCCACCAGGAATCAGACATAGATAAGCCACTAACCTCCAGTCACAAAATGTAGATGAAGTTGCCAATGGATCCGTTGAGTCTGCCTGAGTTCTACATGCAGCACCAAAAACATAAATGAGGAGGATACCCAAACCCATCATCAACTGAGTGCATGCTCCAAAGAGGCCGCGGAATCTCGTTGGTGCCATCTCACCGATGTAAACTGAGCAGACGAAGGAGCAAATACCCATCGAGAGACCCGCTATAATACGAGCAATGATGAGAAGGATAGGGCTACTGCCAAGGGCAATCATGAGGTATGCTGCCATCTCCAACGGAGCTGCTATCAACAGTGCCAAACGTCGACCAGTGAACTCGGCAATAGGGCCACTGGATAGTGTCCCTACCAAAGCACCCAAACTGAGGGCAGCACTGAAGAAACTAGCTTCCATCGTCTCGTCAAATACATAGTATCCCGAGTCAAGTCCGATCTCGATATGAGAACCATTTGGATCGAGTACTGTATCCCTCATAGTATCTATTGCAG